ATAGGAACATTGCCGTGAACATTATATTGCGGATTCCTATCGTTACCTACTATAGTGGCTTGCCTGGAAAAACTGAGTCATACGAACCAATCACCCTCTGCACAGACCTTCCCGCCGGCGTTTCCTGTCAGACGCGGTTCAGCTTTCAGGGAGTCTTCTCAACGGAGCCAACTTGTTTCGAGCCGCCCTTTCAGGGCATTGGCCTTAGCGGCACTACGCCACCACGCCTGGTTTTATGTGCCAAAGCGTTTTTTTTGTTTTATTATTATCACGTGCACGTTGTATCCGGGCAATGGCGACGGTTCGGTGTTTGCACATTTATTTGCCACAGCTTTTCTCACTGCGTGTTTATCCAAGAAAGATCATGCCCGGGAGCAAGCCAACACCGTTGATTTGTGAGAAGAATCAGCAGTCAGGACCTAAGACTCTGTTCAGCAATGTGCAACTTTCTCGGACACTGAGACTTGGATGACGCTTTTACTCACGCATTCGCGAGACTTGAATTTGGCATTTGCTCCAAGAATACGCCGGAGTTGTGTGGCTTGTCGAAACTTGTCGCATTTGGCTTTTGTAGTTTTTTTGCGCACGATCATCCGATCATCTTGCCCGCCAAGGAATTCGCTGGAATAGGTCGCGGAGGGGAGGGGCAGTGAGACGAGTTGTTGCATTAATAGTCATGTTAGTCAATCGTTGCGTCAACTTTTCCTACTGCTCCACCGCATCTTCGGTACCGTTCTTATCCGTTCCTCGGTCCAGCTCGGTCCCAAGCTGCCGATTTGCTCCAGACTTCGGGAATGTGGATCCGGGTTCTAACGCACAGGCCAAGCTGAGCCAACCGTCACCCGTTCAAATTTTTGATTTTGGACACGTTGCTTCACAAAGCTCCGGCCGTGTGAAGGCCGGAAGCTCTTGCTCACGTTACGGTTTCACACTGGAGGCCGCTTAGGTTGGAACTGAAAGGGCTTCAGCAAACAGACCTCCGGAGGATGCGTTCTTGTTTCGTTGGGAGGGGCGTCCCTGTTGCCAGGGTCAAAAGCTGTTTGGGGCGCAATCTGGCACCTGAGAAGCCCTGTGTTAGTTTCCCAAGTTGGCAACTGCATTTTGGATGGCTGTGAAGGGAAGCCAACCTTGACTGCTATTGGGTTGAATCTTTAGACTTTAGCTTTTTGGGAAATCAAGGGTTTTCCACTAAACCCCCAAAAAGGTAAACTTTGTGCAGGGGGGTCAACAGCAACCAAGCAACAGGAAGCCGTTTCCTCCTGGATGATCCCCCCCATGTTGAGAAACACCCAGGAAGGCAGCTACTGGCTCATAGGTTGCTTGTCTGGTCGTCAGCCAGTGTCTTTTTTTCTTCTCCTGGCAATCGGAATTAAGATGCCTGGCATGTCTATAGTAAGGAAGGATCCGCCAACTGGCAGGATGAGGGGTTGACTGTTCATGTTCTTTTCATTTCTTGCAAAATCGCCTGCCGCAAAGTACTCAAGTACCAATAGCATGACCGGTGCCCCAAAAAGACCATCGAAGGTTGGCAGCTCGGAGCTCGGTTCCAGGCTTGTGGAAGAAGAGAAAGGACGTGAAACTGAGCGGCACGATCGCGCAGGCTGTGCTTTTGGGTGAAACACATGCAGGACCATGTGTATATGGCCGGTTTGAGTGCGCTACTCTTGTCCAGTCCTAAAGGCGAAGCTTTTGCTTCGAGTTGTCCTTTGCGATGCGTTTCTGTGTTTCCAGCCCGCGGTAGAATAGGGAAAGCTGATTCGCGTCAAGACGATGATGCGAATCTATCACTTTCAATTGGCTCTACGTCATACACTCGCCAGACTTGTTTTTGTCTAGCAAGGGCTCTTTGAGATATTAAAATGCTTCTGTCAAGCTGTATGGCTGCAGTGGTAGCAAGAGACTTGTTTATGACCATCAATTCTTTCGCACATGTTTGTGTAGAGCCAGAATCGAAGGCCTGGCATAGAAAAGGACAACAGTCACAGTCTAGAAACCATGCGCTACTGAATCAGGTCAGCTTGGCAGCAACGCCATACTTGATTCTTTTTCAGTGGACGAACATGTGTTCAAAGCCAGTGCTGTTTCGCTTTATCTCCCAATTGGCTTCATACTTGCCAAAATCAGGTTTTACAGCAAGTTACCCTAATGTCGAACTCTCGTGACGCAGAGCCGCGGCATCAGGGGCCCTTTACACATCAGACGCGGTCCGCAAGCAGCCCAACTCAATCTGTTTCAACTACCGGGGAACCTTTCAGAAATGGTGAGTTTCCGTTTGGTTGGCTTTGCATCATTTTGCATCCAAAGGTTATCTATAGGACACACACACTCGATTTGTTGCGGATGGAGCCGCCAAGCCAATTGCAAGTCTGCTTCTTTATGATATCTCGCAAGGAAAGAAGCACTTAGCCATCGGCAAATTCTACTGGCCAATTGAACGTTCCTGGTTTGTGCCCTGCTAAAAGGTTGGTTTCCTCGTGTGTGTTTTGAAGCTCCCGCTTTGGATGTCGCAGAACTCGACCGTTGACCTGGAATTTAACCACTAGTTCAAATGAAAAGCTGTTCTTGTTGTTGGTTTTCCTTCAAAGACTTTTTGCAAAGGCGATTCAATGATACAAACTTGGGAAATCCGCCAAGCGGGTGGAACCCCTGTTCCGCTTTGAGCCAACCCGGGAAATGGGAGTCCCTTCCCCCCCCCCCTTTGCCCAAACCACAAACAACGGAAGAACGATGCCCCAAGTGCAACTGATCACCAAGCTTTTTGCCCCTGCCAGCAGGTGCATTTCCTCCGAATCTCCAAAACCGGCTACCCCCCAAAAACGAAAACCGCCACATTCCAATTGGTTTCAGGTGGTCTGCACAGAGGAATCTTCCGGCGCCCAGGCGAGCTGCTCCCAACAATGGCTTCGGTGTTCCTTGCGGTTTTCCCTTTAACTTGCTGGTGCTCAGTAGGGAATGCGGGAATGAACCCGGTCCCCTTAAAGGAAACCACAAAAAATGGTTTGTAAGGAATATTCTCTCATTCCCTGCTGAGCACCAGCAAGTTAAACCGACCCCAAAACGGGTAGACTCAAAAAGAGAAAGAGAGAGAGAGAGAGACACCTACATCAACATGGGGTTGCCAGAAAGAGACCACCCATCTGTCAACATCGGGTTCTTCCTGAAAGGGGTGCAAGACCAATTCTGCTGTTTGTGAAACCAGATTCGGATGTTTTCCAGATAACCTTTGTCCACCTCCATTGACGGGAAGAGCGTCACGCCTGACGACTTGCACAGATGTCAATTGAGCCGACCTCAAAAACATAACTTGCTTGCGATTGGGAAGGTCAATGACTCAAGAGGCCAGTCCTGCGGCTGCGTAAGGAAACCATGCCGCGCACTCTACCGGAAGTCCGTGTATGTGTGTTGAAGCGCAGAGGTGCGGGTGACTGCATAAGCTACCCCTGCGCTTACGATAAGAGTTGTGTGCGACATATATGGAGCATGCTTGCTGAGTGCCGCTCATTTGTCGATGTTCCCCACTCGAACCAAGGGCGATGCCAGGTGCCGGGTCTGACATTTGGGACTTTGAATCCCGTTTTGCCAGTTGCCAGGTGCCGCAAGTCAAGAAAACCGTTTGCACAAAAAAGGTGAAACCGTGAACAACACAAACACATGAGTGTGCAGGGGAGAAACAGCATTACCATTCCAGCGGTGTGAGCTTGTTCATAAGATGCTAGGGTCGACTCCGTAGCTTTATCTTTTGAGGTGGAGATTGTGGTGCAGTGGACAGTTTTAGCTGGTCAGGTATAGTTCCCAGAATTGCCTTTCGCTGTAAATGGTTTCGACATCTGATTTGACCGAATGCAAGATCCGCCGCGCAGTCCCGCTTGGCACGTTTTTGTCGAGGTGAGGTTGGCGGACATGTTCATTGACCAGTTTTGTGATTAAGGACCTGAGCAACTAGCAGGTGTGGTCCTGACATTGCTCATGTTACTTCAGTCAGCGACCGTCGCCCTTAGGGACGCCCTGTAAGCTCTACTATCGTCCGGCCACACCGCACCACGGTTTCGTCGCTCTGCGCAGGGCCGTGTGTGCTTGCGCAAAGGCGGGTCCCGAATAGTGCCGTCACAGCCTGTTCTCGTTGCGTGGCCTTGGCACAGGTTAGTTTGGTCGGCACACTCGATCTTGTTCGAAACATCCTGGGGAGGAAACCGACCTCACACATGCTAAGCATCTCTTTCTTGGGTTGTGCAAATGTACTCTGCTAGTCTAAAGTGTACAATCTTTGGGTGGTAGAAGCAGGTCGACCCCGGTATACCATTTCATACTCACTGGGCATCCTTCCCGCCGCTTGTTCGCTCCGTTTGCAGGACATGAGCGTTTAAGTAGCATGATGTCAATCATTGGAAAACTTCTCGCCTCATTGCAGTCAGCTTAAGAGGTTGAATCAATTAACGGCCTCATCTTTGTGAATTTGGATGTGCTCTGCAGGGTTTCATTTATTGCGCGGTTGACTCAAACCCAGGTTCATGACCCTGGTCCATTTGGTTTCCCTTTGGTCCAACCCCGAAAAGCAGAACCCCTGGTTGAAGCCTGAGATCCAAAACAATCCGGGCTTTTGAAAAAGGCATTTTCATCTGGCAACTTTCTTTGGCAATAGGACGGCTCAATGCCCATGGCAAGGTGAACCTATGCGCTTGCCCCACTTGTTCTTCTTCAACCACCTGTGACAGGGGCGTGCGTGTCGCGCCTGATGTCCGCAGTCTTTCCCAGCCGCGAACATGACATAGGGCACGAACGCAACCACGGCCCCAGCATGCACTTTCCAGTGGAGTTCACAACCCGGCAATATGTTGGGTAGATGTCTTCGATTTTCCGGAGGCCCAACGCGTTCGATACGTCCTTCTTTTCTGGGGGAGCCCCCTTTTGGCTGGTTCAAAGCAGAACCAAAAGGCACCAACTATAGTCATTGGAAAACCGAAGAGAAGGTCAGTGCAGAAGACGCTTCTATCCCATGAGCAATGGCAAAGCGGAAGTGGGATGGCAAAGGAGGAAGGAAAGGCGGAGGCGGCATTCTCAACTTCCGACTCCCTCCAGATAGCAGGCAACTTATATCTTCACTGGTCTTTGGGGGTTTCCGTTCAAGATCGGCCAAGAGAAGGGTGCCCGGTTTGGTATTGTTCTCGTGGCTAGCCTACGGGCAACAAGCCACTGTGAGTTACTGGCTCGGTCTCTTTCTTGAGGCACGCCTCGTCAGGGTTTAGAGTGAGCTAGGTCCCTAGCGGCTTATGGGCCTGTAGAGCCTTTTTTTTGGGTTTCTTCGGTATCTTCCGCAGAGGGTTCGTGGAAACCTCACTTGCAATAGGCCTCAAGCGCTGACATTAGAAACCTCAGGGGAAGGCATCCTCCTTGGGTATTCCGTGGTATGCTTGCCTGACTTTCGATTGCAGGTCTGCAGAGGCATCCTCCTGACAATTCTGAAAAGAAACACATTAGCCCCCGCCCCCGCCATGTCACATTGCTGCATCAACACGGGCATTGTTGGAATGGGCTCTATTTGAGGAACGGTGGGAGCCCTAAATATGGAAACTGATTTGCAATCTTGACTCACGCGCCACGATTGGCACTGATACCAGTTATCCCACTGACATTTGAACAACAAGATATAATCAGCAAGGGGGTAGCTCGATTCTGAGGACGTAAGTTTCGCGACATGGGTTCCATGGATTTGCTGTATCAATGCTTCCTGACAAGTGGTATCTTGTGCCCTCGTTCAACCTCTGGATAGAGAGACTCTCCGTAAACAAAAGGAATCAGACAGACTGCTGTTTTTCATGACCTGTCAGTTGTATGTAGCTTTCCGATGGAGCAACAACCAACTCTTGAGCCGTGATGTTTGAGAGTATCTTTACTTATTGGCGCTGGATTGAAAAGCCATCATTGGCATTTGTACGTATTGTAGGCACTTTGGACTGTGTTGGCTTTGCAGGGCGGGGGGAGGGGGGGTAGCTCTGGCACAGCTTGTTTTGTTCCTGGGGTTTGCCCTTAGCAGGCATTTCTGGCTCATACTTGGTGTTGGCCGGCAATAAGGAAAGCTGTGGCACAGCCTGGCCCACCCAAGAACTGCGATGCTTGGCACCTGTTCATCTTGCTTCTGTTCGGGCTTCGGAGTTGCGCCCAGTTCTTATATAGGTACTTGAACCCTTTGGCTGTCCAATATGATATAATTCTTGCTCAAAGTGGAGAAGCAAAAGGGGGCGGGCTAACCATGTCTTTGCTTGCCATTTGGATGGCTGAGGGCAGGACAAGTTCTCGGCTGCGTGGCAGCTGGGCGGCTGCGGCCTTTCAAGCTTGACGAGAAACTTGACTTGGTGACGCTGGATGTTCACCCTTGCGTGATGCAGTTTCGCGTCAAGATAGCAATCCGTCGAGTAATTGTTCGCCTCTGCCAAGTCTCAATGTTACTCCGTGCCTCAATTGAGAAGTGGTTTGTGCGCAAGCAACAAAGTATCCCAAGAAAAGGCCCAACGCGAGGCAGAGGAAAAGGCAAAGGCAAGGGCAGAGAGAAGGGCAAAGAGAAGGGCAAAGACAAAGGAAGAGGAGGCTGGCAAAGGGAATAAGAGGGCCTGGATGAGTGTGAGCTGCAATGCAATGCCCAATGCGGGCAGCTGAATGTGGGGTTCTCGCGAATGATTACAGGCCGCCCAATGCGGGCATTCCCATGTGTTTGTCGAGTAAGTGAGCAGGCCTAAGAACTCGCGTTGATAGGTGTTTGCCCGCTGGGAAGCTTTCTTTTTAGGATTGCTGGCTGGTTCTCTCAACGTGATTGACAACATTCTGCCCAGTGTTTGCGCTTGCGCAATGCACAGCAATCAGAATTGTTGACGACCAAGAATGAGGATTGGCTTACTTGCTGCCTTGCAATCGTGCAAAAGCGATGCACGCTAAATTGTTTCTCATGATGCGGCCTTGCGGGCGATTTGGGAGTGCCCCTAAAGCCCCTTGATGCTTGCTCGCTTTTGAAAGGAGCTCTGACCTTGGTGTATATTGACTAGAGCTGAGAGTCAAAGCAGTCGGTGAGCACGTACTGGTTTAGCGCGCCTCGTGAAAATGCGCAAACCACATGATGTACCCTTTTGCAGTCACAAAGGGCAAGGCTCAGCCAGCGATGCAAAGCGGCTTGAAGTCTCTAAATTTGGGGGATGGATGTTATCTTTCAAACGGTAGCCTCCGAAAGGTGTATACGCATTTTTCATGACGCAAACCCGGATACTTGATGGTTCTCCATGGGCAACCAAGTCGAGGTCTTCTTTCTGGGGGCAGTTTGACTGTTTCTGGGGGTGTCAAAGTCAGATGATGGGATCGTTCCCTTTGGCCAACTAAAGAGGTGACTTTGATCATGGTAAAATTATGGAGGCCGGAGTCTGGGCAGTCAAGTTCCTGCTTCGGCAAAATGACCTGTTCTTGTCAGCCACTTTCCTCTCGCGCTGTTCTCCTGCTTGGTCTCAACGAATGAGGGGAATGACTTATCTATGACCATGGGATCCATTGGTTCACTCAGCCTGCTGAGAACTGGCAAGTCAAGTGACGAATTGAGCTGCCACAGGGCGCTTCCCTCCTGCCACTTGCCCAGTAACTAGTTTTCTTGGTGGCCCCAGCCATCCGGTTCCTTAGCTTTTTAGCTTTTTTTGGTTTAGTGGTAGTTTCCATTTACTTCACTAACAGGTATTTTTTTAGCGGGGGATTTGAGGGCAGCCCAGTTTTTGTTTGGTGTGCCACCAGCAAGTTTCATGCCCATGTCTTCGTGTCAGGCGAGAAGAAGCTCCGGCGCGCCGGGCCCATGCCTAGCCGCGCGGTGCTGGTGACGAGCCACACGCCCTCCCTGTGCCAGAAAGCCACCCGAGCCTTCGGAAGCAAGGGGAAATGGCCATGGGGTCAACACCCCGTACCCAGTGGACATCCCAATCCCCACTAAAATGGGTGGTGCACCTATCCCAAAATGGTACCATTGGTTTTGAACCATGGCCAGATTGGAATTGAAGAGGAGTTGGGTAACGTTGACCCCATATTGATCACCCCTCGTTAATAAGGGGGTGTCCCACTGGGTTTAGTGGGGATTCATCACTTTTGGAGGGAAACACCGCCCTATTAACAGGGGTTGAGTAATATGGGGTCAACATTACTTTACACAATTAGTCATGATCATAGGAGTATACTCTTAGAATTTAATTTAGCCTTTACTGTGGATGGTGGCCAAATTCTGGCCAGGCAATGGGAATTGGTGGCTTGTCAACCATTCAAATCATCCTAACTCCTATTTGTTGCGAAGTGGAAGTTGTCCACGGAAAAAGGGCATGGAGTCCTCTTGAATCCGCTGTTCGAATCCTCGCTTCCTGCTCCCTGACTGGGGCCTTCAACCGCAGGGCACTCACTGGCTTCGATTCAAATCTAAGAAGATGGAACCCGCCAACTTGGGGTAAGGCAGCTTTGCTCGCCATGTTCGACCCAAAGCTCACCCCAGTTGCCCAGTGGCGCCCTTTTTCCTCTTTTCCTTTGGACGGGTTCTCCTTTAAAGTCGACCAAGCAAAAAAGGATGCCGTTTTGTTTGTTTTCCCTTTTTGGCAGGGTTCCCCTTTGTAAAGTCCAACAAAAAGGGTGGGGTCTTGAGCAATGTGGCGGAACCAAGCAAGACAGGATGCTGTTTTCTTCCTAGAAATCCATAGGGGCTGAGTCACGTTTCTTTGGCGCGAGGAGAGGCCATCCGCCTCCTGGACTCTGCCCTGGGCGAGGGCGAGGAGCGGCTGGACGAGCCGCTGGACGGCGAACGTCGGTCGGTGGGGCAGTCGCTGGATGCAGAGCTGGACACGCGGCCGGGGAGGGATTGGAGGTGCTGCGCTGGGGCTGCGCAAAATTTCTGTTGGAAAAAAGGCCGGGCGAGTTTGAAGTTGGAAATATGGGGCCAGAGATTGCAACAGCTTCGGCGTCAGGCAAAACCCCTCGCGAGCCAGGCTCGTGTCAAAGTAATGCTAACCCCGGATTAAGCAACCCCCCTGGTTGATTTTGATCGGGGGGTGTCCAATTCCTTTCAGTGGGGATTCAGACCACTTTTGGAGATTTGGAACACCCCCGTAATGGGACGGGTCAACATTAATCATGGGTCAACATGAATTGCATAGTTTGAGGATAACCAACTTGAGGCTGGGGCGCCCCGCGGCTGTTGGATTTGGTGCTGGGGATTTGGCGGGTGAGAGGGTGGAAGGGCAGGTTTCGGGGAGGCGCAATGGCAAGCTTAGCTCGAAAGAAGGCCTATCCAGAGATCACTCTGGCAACTTGGTTCTGGGGTGTTCTGGAGCCGGAGCAGCAGGAAAGAGCAACAGGGTTTCATGGATGTATATAGATGGTCAAGAGGTTTCAGGATGCTGTGTTGCTGCAGATACCAAGTCAGCTTGTTCTTCTGCGATATCAATGGCCCAACCACCATGACATACTGTGGATGGACGAAATCCTACACCACCTCAGAAACCCTGGGATAATGATTGCCCTGTAAATACCAACAAACAATGGTGTCTCGTGGTTTCAAAATGGTGCAGGATTTTGTCCATCCACAGTAGCACGAGAAAGCCAGAGAAAGCTGGTTTTCTGAGACTTCCAACAACGGCTATCAGGTCTTAGCCAATGGGTTTGTGGGCGCGAAAACTTTCCGGGCCAAGTGGAAGTTTCATGAACAGTTTTGACATCTGCGGGCAGTCGCGGAACGAACATCTCGGGCTGTTGCTGTGTCATACTCCCCTGGCTCATTTTCTGAGGGCTTCTCAGTTGTTCAGTGGCACCCTTTTCCCCCCCTTTTTTTTGTGGGTGGCCGCCCGACTAAAATGGTCTTCCCCAAAAAGGGTTCCCTTTTTCTTCCAGGGTCACTGAACAACTGAGGCTTTCCTTAAAACGGACCACAACCAAATGCTTTACTTGACCCATGGCCACTTGGAGTGGCCAAAAAGATGGCCAGTTTATGCTGCTTTTTGCAACCTAATGTAGACAACCCCCACATGTGTCAAAATTGGTCCCCCCCTCCACACTATGGAAAGCTGGCTTTCCTGTTGGATTTCCGAAAACATGCGCACGTATGGATAATTTCGCTCCAGTTTGCGTCTGCTGGGTTTACTGCACGGTGGCCGCTGTGCTTCGAATCGAGCTGCAACCTGGTTGGTTCAGGGCAACCGACACAATGGTTGTCTCTATAGTTGAGATTTGCTTTTAAGTAGTTTTTTGAGGGTTCTCGTTTCAGGTTGGTCGGAAGGGACACTTTGTATTTTTTTTTGGGGGGGAGGGCTAGTTGACACGTACTATTTGGGGAGAGCTTAGGGGAACGGAAAGCCAATCTCTCCTATGTCCCACACACCAAGGGAATACTGCCCGCATGGCTTCAGCATTTATTTGCCCAGCGGAGCTGGGGCTCAATTCTCAGGCCACAATCACCCAACACTTAGAGACACGGTAAGATGACGCAGTGATTCCACTTCCCTGCTTAGTAGGCAGCAGTCAAACATGTTCTGCATGTTCAGGCGAACGGTGTTTTGAGCGTGTTTCGAAGCGTTCGAAAACAGACAGAACCAATGCTTCCCCACCACAGCGCGTCTGACCTGCCTGCGAGCCGGGCAGTTACAGGGCGATGTGGAACTATTTAACTTGATCACTGTTTGAAACCACACCACGCGACGCACAAATGGACCAATCAGTACACGAGCGGTTTTTTTTGTCAAGCAAGAAACACAGGGAGCAGCGAAAACAACTGTCGCCGTGCTGCGCAGTAGCAATTGTGCCATGCTTAACCCGTCTCGTGTACCCGAAAAGAACAAGGGGAACCCAATGTTTCATTGCAAGACACGCAGGTTTTGTGGTTGGATATGATTGTGCCATGTGTTTTGTTTTGCCAAAAGGCCATCCAGGATAGTGAAGCAGGCAACAGGGAACCTCTGATTGGTGGTTTGGATTGGTGGCTTGAGGGCTTGAAACCTCAGTCCTCGTACAGTTGACTGGGAAACCGCCTCCAGACCACATTCTTCGCTGGGGTTTCTCGTGAAACCGACCCGAAAAGGGGAACTATCACGCACAATATCTAATAGATACTGGGAGCACTGGTCTTACTCGTTCTGGGACTGACCTGCGGTTTCCCTTTGAGGGCTCCAGTGGCTCCAGAAACTGGCAAGGCCTTCAGCCAAAGAGGGAAAACGGGGACTACTCTCTTTCCAACAATCATGGAAGTGCACAAAGGGGTTCCCCAAGAGGAAAATAGTCTTCCAGAGCTCTCCTGTCAACTTCCATGATTGTTGGAGGGAGGGTATGCCACGCCTTGTGCGTCTGACCACTCAGGAGGCGCTCAAGGAGCCGCGGAGGAAGCGGCTGCGGTTCCACAGCGAGGTGAGCCGCGGGGTGGCGCTCTTGGCCTATGAGCCGCAGCAGCCCTTGCCCTCGGCGCCTGGGGCCTTTGACTGTGCATCGTTTTTTTGTTTTTTCATTTTTTTCTCCACGAAAAGAAACAGGGATGTTACCCAAGTGGTTCCCTCGCGTAATTATTCCTTATCCAAACATATTGGAGGCAAGCAGGCTTTTTTGTTTTTTTCGCGAAGGGGGTTCAAGGGAAGGCAAAAGGGACGGGTCCCACCATTTTTGGGGTAACGCAGAGGATGAGATGAGGTGCCGTCAAAATGTCTGGAGCTGTCTGTGGTCCGTTCGGGGTGTGGGGCTTGGCGGAACTCACGCAATTCCGCACAAAACCGGCGGACTCGCCAAGCAAAAGGATGTTGTCTTGCTTGGGATAGACATGTGATCGCGCAATCCTAACCCCCCCACCCCCCCGGTAGGAGGGGGAGGGTGGCAAACGATTTATCAAATGTTAGACCCGGAACAAAATCCTGGGAGCCAGAGGAAGACGAGAAGGGACCAGAGGGGACGAAAGCTGGCTAGGGACCCTCACCTTAGAGGCTTCCTTGTTTGTTTTGCTTTTACCTTATCAGGTTGAAGAATGATCCGCTAAACAGTAGCATCCAACGCTGCGGGACGTGAGCCAAAGTTCATTGCTTCCTCGATTCGACGGCATGCGCAAGGGCGTTTCCTTGAAGCTTTGTTGCGCCTCCATCCAAGCTTTTTGAGGGTTCCCTTTTCATTGGCCAAAAGTTGGACCAGGAAAGCCACCTTTTGGGGCCCTGGGAGGGGGGGAGTTTTTCTTCGAGACACGGCCATGGGTCAAAAGCCCGTAACCCCAGTGGACCAAAATGGGTGGTGCTAGACCAAAATGCTACCATTGGTGACCCACAGCCACATACCCAGCCGTGCCCCTTCGAGACGTACCCTTCGATCCTTGAGCCGAGGAGACAGTTCAGAAGATCTTTGGGCTGCGGAAGGAAGCAAACTGCCCCGGGGCGCGCTTCGTGGTGCGCCTGGCGCCCCTGGACTTTGTGTGCTCCCCACATCTCAAGCGGCTCGGAACGGGTTAGGGCGAGGGGCAGGCTCGGTTTCCGTGAAATACCAAAAGGGGGTAGATTTTGAGAAACGCCTGTAGCCGAAAGTGTTCTGTTGTTTTGAGGCGTCAGATAACGGGAGACCAAAGGAAAACCCACCTTTTTGGAGCTCGAACCCCATTTTTGGGCGAATCGGTTTGTGCTGGGCAAGTACCCCTTGTTTAACACGTTTCAAGCCATCTTGAGTCGCTTAGACTTTCTTTTGCTTTCCGTTCGAAGGGGGCAGGGCTCGGCAATGGGAAGCAATGGAGAATCATCCCTCAGAAGAGTTTCTCGCAGGCCCTAGTTCAACGGGTTGCTTTTTGAGTATTCTTTACAGGTTGGTTTGAAAACAAAACCAGGAAAGCTACCATGCAGGGGGTGTCCCTATTTTGACACATACCCCTGCGAATTCCAGCCCTCCGAGACGCCCCTGTCTATGCAAAGTGCGAAAATTGTCTTTTGGAGTCCTTTTGGGGTTCTTGCGGGGTTCTTTGTGACAAGGGCGAAAGAAGTACACACCCCGTGGCAGCAAATGTGTGTAGCAAAAAAGTTGAATCTTAATATATATATATATATATATATGTATATATATATATATATATGCAACAACATGGAAGCAACATGGTAGGGGTTGTACGCAACGATGTGCACGTCTTCACCTCAGGAGTTTCCAGGCCGCGGCTGCGGCGACTTTGCCGAACCAATTCGCCTCGGCGCGGCCGGGCGCTGGGTGGTACATGGCCTTCCACAGCCGGGCCATGGGCCGGGCTGCCCAGAAACCGGCCCCGTGTCTGCGTTCAGGGCTCCCTACAAGATACATGCTGCAACCATGTGCAACATGGTCTTTTTTTACACCAAAGAAGGGGAAACCGCCATGTACAAGTTGCAATGTTCAGGTGTATATAAGGATCCCTGTTTGCTTGGGTCTTTTGACCTTAACTTTTGGAAAATGGCAAGGGGGGCTGCGGTTTGGGGTGCTGGTGCAGAGCGCTGCTGTTCGGGATGGCTGGGGTGCTGGTTGCTGTTTTGGGGTGCATTTTGGGGTGCTGGTCACGGGGCCTCATTTTTGCGAGATTGACGGCAGAGTGCTGACAGCGCCGGCGCATTTTGTCGCTTGGCGCGGGCGCATGTTTGCGTTTGTTCGGGGTGCTTTTGGGAGGTGCTGGCGATGGTGTGGCGAAAGGAGGCATGCAGTTTGGGGTGCTAGTGCAGGTCGGTCTGTTGGGTGCTCTTTGGGTGCTCTTCGGGGTGCTTGTGACGGTGCAGGCTCGTTTGTCTAGAGGGTCATGCAGCTTTTGGTGCTGGAGTAGGGGTTGGCGGCCGGGTGCATTTTGCTGGCTATTTGGTTTTTTTGCTGGTATTTTTTGGAAATCATAATTTCTATTGATTTGTCAATTTCAACTTTTGAACGGCGAAGTTCACAGCACATTTTACACATTTACAATGCTGAACGTACGCTTTCTAAGGGCTGTCAGAAGTTTAGCATTTGTTCAAGTATTGGGTGAGTTAAAAGCAAAAGGATCTTTTGGATTTTGGCGTGAGAACTAATACTTAACACAACAAAAGGGGGGTATGGGGCCTGCGTTTCAGGCATTCTATCATCTGGTTCCAACACAGCAAGACTTCCATCATCTGCTGCAATCTCCTGCAATGAAAAACAACTCGAGTTTTCAAAACAAAACAAGCTGCAAACCCTATGGCTCTGGGCAGACCAGGCTTGGGGACAGACATAGAGCCTGCATTGTCTGCTGAAAACCTGAGGCTTTGTTTACGTTATTCCACATACACAAAAATATCGAGTCTTCCAACCAAAAACCATAAAACAGACCCGAGGTCATGTGTGAACAAGCCCCACCCCAAACACACAAACGCGCTTTCCAAGGTAAGTATTTCTATCTGGTTTCTTGATTCTTGCTTCTAAAGAGGCGGGGCGTGTTCTGCGAAATCGGGCCAGCTAGGTGCTGGCAATGGTGCTGGTCAGGTTGTTGGTCAGGGTGCTGTTTCGGGGAGGCACGTGATTGGAGGTAGGCTTTTTTCCGCACCCCATTGCTTGCTTTTGTGACAATCACGCCTCAGATTCTCTTGGGTCAGCTTCGCAAGGCTCTCAACCCCAAAAAGTCAGCAGAGGTCCAAATCACCAACCCGCACGCAGGAGTCTTGGGCTGGGGACAGACCCTTTTTTCGGTCTTGTCCGCTCCCTGCAACAAGAAGTGTTGCCAGAGTTTGTTCTGTTAAGTCAGGATTTTGGGAAACCCCCAAGAAGGTCTTAGGTGCAATCTATCCCCTTGGGCTTGGGCCAAGAATATGGTTTGGTATGCAAACGGTTCAACTGGAGTTTTCGCTGGTAGTAAATAGGAAGCCCTTTCGAACTGGAATCTCAAGTGGGGAGTGATTACAATTGAAATGGGAATCAATACGGACACATAGTTACGCTAAGAGGTTGATTTTAATATGCTTGGTCTAAACTGTAAATAGAAATTCAATCTAACACATTAAGGAAACAGCTATTTTCCAAGTCCGGCTAGGTGCTGTTTGAGATGTTGTGTTTAGACAGGTTTAGTGGCCAAATGGACCTTTTAAACTCAAGTAGATCTCATATGAAACTTGAGGAAAAACACATATTCCTCTTCAACTTAGAACTTAACCCGGGCTTCGAATGTTTAGTGGGAATCTGCACTCCGAGTTAGAAGCAAAAAAGTATGTTCCTTTACGTACAGTTCAGCTGGATTGTAAAGATAGTGATGATAGTGTAAGAAATCCATTTTGAAATGGGAACGCCTTTCCACATAGAACTGTCGAAGCTTTTGAGGAAAGAACTTAATTATAATCTCCACTCTGGGCTAGAACTCAAAGAGGAACCCCTTTCGAATAGGATTTTCACCAACATGTTGTTATAATTTAAAAGGGCCTTGGTATGGAAAGAACTTAACTAGAATTGTCATGTCAATTTCGGGCTGAAGTAGGAACTCCGATCGAAATGTTTTGAAACACCAAATAGAGCTGAAACAAACTTCAATGAGGAAACGTAGAATTTGCCTCCCGAATGAGAACTAGCAGCTTAGCATCAAATAAGGAAAACTCTTTCAACCCCCATCCTAAATTAGAATTTAACAAGGGCTTCTTTTCCAGCCAAACCTCACTAGATCGCTAGGGTTTAAGAAGTAGGTTGAAACTGGTTCGCGCGCGGCGTAGCACGGCAAGCAATAGATGCTGCTGATGCCATATGGGCGCTGCTTGCGCCTGCATTTTGAGCATAAAGGCCCGCGGTTGCGATAGCATCACGCTGCGGTGAAAGTCACCCTGACACTGTCTCGGTTAGTTTTTAGGACGCTGTGTTTTCATGACGCTGCCGCATTCCGTGTGTTGGACTCAGTATCACGTTCTTGGTGCTTGCTTGTAGCGCGTAGTGGTTCGTGGCTGTGGTATCATCCTGATGCTTCTGATAGAGAAAGGCTAGATGGACAGGTTGTGGGAAAGATTGCTGGCTGTGTGGATACATAGACACAACGGTAGACACATTGCTCGATGGATAGTGAGCCAGCCAGCTAGCCTGCTTGATGCTTGATTGCTTGCTTGCTTGCTTGCTTGCTTTGCTTGCTTGCTTGCTTTGCTTGCTTGCTTGCTTGCTTGCTTGCTTGCTTGCTTGCTTGCTTGCTTGCTTGCTTGCTTGCTTGCTTGCTCGCCCAATAAATCGAAAGAAATAACCAAACAAAGGCAGGAAGGAAGAACAAAGGAAAACATAATCGCAAGGAGAAAGAAGAGAAATAAGAGAAAGAGAGAGAGAGAGAGGTGGCAGAGAAAGTAAAGAAATACATAAGGAAAGACAGCACAAAGCAAAGAACGAAGCACACAAAACATTACGGAAAGAAAGGACAGAAGAGACAAAAAGCACAAAATACACCAAAATAAGGAAAGCATGAAGAGAAATAAAGAAGGCAAATATAAAATAAAATGAACAATGAAAGAAGGAAGAAATAACGATGGAAGTGAGAAAGAAGGGAGAGGCATAAGACATAAAGAAAGAATGGAAGCAACAAGAAAGAAGCGATGACTATAGATAACATTGTGAAGCTTCCGCTTTCTGGCTCGACTGGTACTTTTGTTGACATTTCTGCCAGCCGGCTCTATTGGATGGGAAGCCAAAGAGAGCCAGCAGGTGTGGGACTAATGCCGTTCGCGTCCGAACAGTGGACGGAGGTTGCGATGGCGCATAGCTGTTGAGCTGAATAACTTTCTGGTTTGTCTCAGGCCAACATGGCCTGACGGATGGGTGACGGATTTTCCTCTCCGACTTTTGACGGATCGTTGCCAGCAGATCGCGGTTGCCACAATCGCTCACCACAAAGGCTCCCTTCAAATTTTCACTGGATCACTTTTGGTTTGCCTGTATTGGTAGGGAACCCAAACGGAGAATCTTTTGCGGGGTCTCCATTGGTTTTTCTTGGTTTTCCTTTTGTGGTTGTCCTGGAAACCCTGCTGAGCAGTCTTGGCCATCCGTCCAACTGCCGGAAAATGCATCCAGGTTGAAACTTTGGGCTCAGATCTGAGCACAGAGGATATGTTGAATTGATTAAAGGGAATCGAAAACGAGGCTCATCCTCTGAAAGGGTCTCTTATTGATGTGTTTGCTTAACAACCATTTGGCAGGGACCCTTGTCCCGCACAGTTGCATGTATAGTGAAAATTTGATTTCCAGGAAAACTGTGTACCTGCCCGATGTGTTTTGTGCCATTGTGCGTCTATCTGGCGTAGGCGCTGTTGTTGGCTTCCCCGTTTCCCTTTTCGGATGCTGCACCGGGGGTGGTATGGGGTAGCCCCAGTCAGCACATTGATGCCATTTCGTGATCAGACTTTTGGCGCAGCAGGCTAGTGCAGGACATTAACTGTCTTATGAGTTTTCGCTGCAAGATGGTCGCCCAACTTTGGCGAGGCTTCCCCAAGTCGACAGGCTCTCCCACACGAGAGCTGTAGGCAAATGTTATGGACCTGACAAGGGTGCGACCTCTCCTAGGAGAGTTCGTTCCAGTGGGACCCTTCCTTCGTTTCATGAATAGTCATTGCCCAAAATGATTTGAAGGACTATCAACCGGTGGTACCGACATTACGTTTGCTCCGAGGCACCATCAAGCGGGACGAAGCAATGCAGGCCCTCAAGGACATTCTCAGCTCCGCGGCAAGCAATGCAAGAGCAAAGCGTTTGGGGTTCGCAGGATGTCTCGTGTTACAGAGCTTTACATGAGCTCACATGGACACTGCCATTAAACATATGTTTCGATCAATAAGAATAAAAGAACGTCTAGACCTATGTTGTCTTGAGTCTGGGCAAGCTATGGCAGCCTTGGGGGGAGGGGGGGTAAGGCAAGTTCATTATCGATTATCGTTTTTCATTTGAGCGTCCCTCATGTCACAGCGGTGAAATATCACATGTCAAGATCATCAAGTTCAACCCTTGAAAATTGATGAGTCTGGGTCTTGGTAACAAATGAAGCACGTCAAGGAATCATCAATGAATAGGCTTTGCAGGTCCCTGTGCCACAAACAATTTGGCGAAAGACAGTAGGCGGTGAACGTCTGGGTAAAGGCAAAAAGCAGTGAAAGGCTACTGGTAGCTGACAATTATCATACCTTCTGTGGGCAGAGATGGTGTGTGTGTGTGTCCTTTGTGGGGGTGGCTGAAAGGGAAGCAAGAAGATCGTTTTGGGGGGTCTCCTATTTTGACACACCCTCGCATTCTTCATCATACCAAGGCCCAAAGAGTTGTGATGTTTTGAGTCGAGATCCAGTGGCCGCGAGCTGTACTTTCGACCCGCTAAGGGAGTCCCTCAAATTGTGAGCAGAGTTTGCCAGGTTTTATTCGGGTGAATCATAGCGACCCTCGCCGGTGTTGCAGAGTGTTGTTACTAGGATCCCCAGTTGCCCCGGCGGGTTTCCTTGTTGCCTTTGTCCCCGGCCGACCACTGGGGTGTTTGGAACAGACAGCCGTTCTGGCGGTCAAATCAAAAGGGGCCCCTTCCAGGAAGCCAAAGCTTGGGGGTCCAAAGCCGATTTTTTCGACCGGTTTCTTGGACCTCACGCCAACATGGGCCATTTGCAGAGACTCCAGGACACATCTTTCTTTTGGGCGCGGGGTCTTGTGCACCAACTATCTTTGCGAGGCGCATGCTACTTCTCACCTCCCAACGCTCTTGGCGTTTATGTGTTTATTATATATTATATATTATATATATATGCGTTTATGTGTTTATGTGTTTATTTATATATATATATATATACGGGAGTTCCTAGTGGCGCAGCACCAGCGTACAAAGCTTTTAGGCCCAAAATCCAGCGCCACCAGCGCTCGGCCGTCAATCAGCGAGCGAGTCTGAGTCACTGAGGACCACTGGACTTGGATCTCTCGGTGTCTGACGCCGAGTACACGGTCCTGGTGGAGGTCAACCCCGTGCTCTGCGGCTTTTCGGTGCTCAAAGGCTACGTTTCTCGTCCAAGATATTTTGGGATGTGTCGAACTCACTGGTCTCACGTCTCACTTCAAGCCCGAGGTTTTCTGGACTTCGAACTTTAAAGGAAGACCATTTTGGTGGTAAACGAACAGTTCAGACATTTTGGGCCAATCAGCGCGGGAAGTGAATTGTGGGTAGTTTTGAATGGAAACAAAAAAGAAGCCAACCAAGTTTCGCAGCTTGCCTTTGAAGCGCATTTGGATTGCGGCCAAGGAGCACGAGCTCTTTGAGTGTCATTTGCAGAAAGCCTTTGAAGACTGTGAGATCCAGGCAGCCAGCCAAGACGAAGGCGACGATGAGGACGATGATGGGAGCGAAGATGAAGAGGAATGTGAGGACGCCGAGGCTACACAAGAGCCTGCCGCAGAAGCTGAGGCTATACGAAAGCCTGGCGAGGCCAAGGATGCACAAAAACCTGCCGCAGAAGCTGAGGCTATACGAGAGCCTTCCGGCGATTCGGGAGCTGATGTCTCTTGAGTTACATTGGTCTAGGATGGCTTCAAATGAAGACCACCCATGCTCGACTTGCCCTGTAGCATGCCAGGCGTGCTTTCTCTTGGCATCGAGTGAGTGATATCCGCGAAAAGGTGAAGCTGACAAGAGGTCACCGGAAAGTTGTCCCTTCCAGTCACCAAGGCTTCCCCAAAAGTGGGGGTTTGCCCCTTCCAACAGCCACAGTCCCCTCCAAGCTCTTTCATAATTTTCGGGTAGACGAAGCGGGCAGCAGATTTTGAACACACGCAGCTCCTCGCTTCGAGGCTTCCTGAGGCCAGGCCTTAGCTCTCGGATAGGCTTCAAATCCGCCACCAAGAACAGGGCTCCTTAAAAGATACATTTTGCCCATTTGAAACATGGTTTTTTCAACACCAAATACAGGGAAACCACCATTTACAAGGCAATGTTCAGGTGTATAATGTAAGGATCCCTGAAGAAGGGGGCAACTGGTTGGTGGCCTTGCTGTTCTTGCCGTAAAGTTTGTATTGGTTCTGTTCATGTGTAGTCGGGGTTGCAAAGAACAGAGCTGCTTGCTAGCATGCCAAGGGTTCGGAAGGTATCCTCTTTCTTGTTTGGAACCCAGCCAGCCGCATTCTTCACCAAAAACTCTAAGTGTTCCCAAAAGCCATATGGGTCCGTGGCTCATTTGCAAGCATGTCAAACATGTCGGCTATGAGCCCCCAGGCCACTCACCATGGAGCGATCAGAAAAAACACGTAGCTGGTTCTACGTTTTGATTTGTTAGGATTATAGTAAGGCCTGTATACACCTTCGTAACTGCAACAATGTTAGTAAAACCCAAAGCCAATAAGTGTTGGGCGTTGCTCATCCGTCGATCCCCCGCCCAAGCCAGACTCAAAATATCGTTGTGTTGTTTGTTTGAACGAACGAAGAGAGGGGAGAAAAGGAAAGGTGAGATGGAAGGATTTCCTGAGATTGCAGGAATGCCTTGACTGGGAGGTTTAAACAGCGTTTGTTCGTTGAACAATAAGCATACTGTGGATGGACGACATCATGCACCACTTTGAAACCATGGTTGGGCCATTTTTTTGTTGGTATTTACCGCGGAATCAAATGATTCCGTTGGGTTCCTTAGGTGGTGCGAAGTGGATATTGTCCGTCCACAGTATCGGATTTGCAGGCCGTGAGCCTGGCATTTGGGGGAAGCAAATTCTCGACACTTGAGCCGGGTCAGTCGGGTCTCATCTATCAGAGCTTTGCGCACTCTGCCTATTCGAAGTTTTGCCAGTCAGGCTGGTGGCAAAGTTGGCGAGCGCATGACTTGTTGATGGTGTTTCCCAGCTTTTTGAAGGGTCCTGTTCATTTAACGTGTGAAACATGAAGAACTCCCCTGTGGGTAGGCTTGACAGAAGGCTAGGCAACAATCAAGTGGGGGGGCTTTCGAATGCCACACCGCCATTGCTTACGCGCATTGCACGGGCGAGCCACGGCAGAACTCCCAAAGCATTGGCCTTCATGGTTGCATATCTTGGTTTGTTTCCTAGTAGTTTTGCTCCTAGCCCACAGAATCGAACCGTGTGGCAGGCAAGAGGCGACGGTTTTTTCAGTTGCCAAATCTTCGCAAGTGTCCTTTGCGGCTTCAGCTCCTACCAAATGTTGACCCCAGACAAATCCACCAGCCAGTTTAGGGGCTGCTTCTCCCTGGGTTTAGTGGTGAGGTATCACTTTTGGAGGGGAACCCCCGAGTAATAACTTGGGGTTGATTAATATGGCTATGGCTCAAAATTCAAGAGCTAGGGTTACGCGGTTTGAGTCTTTGGTTCCATTCATCAAGGTGTCATGTTGGTACATGTATTTGAGCCACAGCCATATGGGGTCCACATTAGAGGGAGCTTTGGATCAATGACAGGAATCCACCGATCCTCCCACGTCTAACGCCGTGGCTTTCGGCTGCCGAAAAATGAAGAGGCGGCTTCATCGCCAAGTACGTCGGCTGCTGGACCCCCGAGCATTTGGTGAAGATGGACTAAGGTGAAGGCATGGTGAAGGCGAAGGGCGGGCGGGGCCGTCCTTGGACCCCGTGGCGGGTGATTTGAATCCGCCCAGTTTGAGGATGGTCTAAGTATGTTGGTTTTGGTGCGAGTGTCCAAGCAAGTTGGACCCGGGGAAGCCTGTAGTGCCCATTTCTATGTTACATAGCCATTATACAGGGTATGAGATCAAAATGATCAAGCCGATATTTTTAGTGTCCACAGGGGGTTGTGGTGGACCTCGTCGCAAGTCTGCCACCCTTTCACTTGTTTCTCTGAATCCAATCAAGGAAAAGGGGCCAAGAAGGCACACGTTGACGTCCAGCAATGTGTAGAGGGAGAGAGAGAGAGAGAGACACAGTCGGAGCAGCCAAAATGTGGATACCGACGTCAACCAACGTCGGCAAGCATTGGATGTCCCGTTGGAATCTCGGTCGCCAAAAGTTTTGGTCTTGAGTTCCAGGCCGTGATCCGGTTCTTCCCTTTGGTACAGACACTCCCAAGTGGTTGGACCACCTTTCGGCTGGGGTGAAAAGCGCAGCCAGCATGGAAACAACCTTGGTGTTTCTCCTTGGGTTGCCCTTTTCCATGTTTTTTTTTGTTCCATATGTGTTTGAATCATAAACCATGCACAGCGATTCCTGTGTGTGTTTTCATCCCCAAAGAAAAGGAAGGATCTCAGGATATGCTTTGGCTTGCCTCCCTTGAGGAACACAGGGCGAACCGAGGTTAGATAGGCTCCGTTTGGATTTGATGCCCTTTTTGCACTGGCTGTGATCTTTAGCAGGGCACGGCACTCCTGAGAGCTGATTCCCCACTGATGTCCGCCAAAGGATGCGCAAATGATGTCGAGTAGACTAAATCTCGGTGGGACAAAACATGTAATGTAAATAGTATTTATTGGTTCTGACGTGCGCGCGGCCTGTGTTCGTTCATGTTTTAACACGGGGACCCGCAGGCTCGCGCCGACTGCTTTTGAGCTTCGAGTGAGCCGAATTTTGCTAAAAGGCGCTGATGGATGAGTGGGGCGCCTTGAGGTTATTTCAATAACATCGGAGCTCATCATGCTCAACTATTTTAGTTGAACATCTTCATGCTACTTTCCCTGGACTTTTGAGTGACTGGGGATGGTTCATGGTCTTTTCAGTATCCCTGTTGGAAAGACTTGTTTGATTGGTTTTCGCCGTACTTGTTTGGAGCTTCCTTGTGTTTTCTGTTGTGTGGGACGTGGCCGGGATGTGCCATGATCACCAGTGAATGCCTATCGTGGCTCACTTAGGGCTCCCAATGTCAATGGCCATCCCTGACGTCAGGCCAGGGTTGATTGGACAACTCATGGCTCTGGGAGGTTCAAAGCCCTAAATCCTGTGGTTTGTCTAGTCACTTAGTGTCCCACCAATTGTCAGGTTTCGATTAGGTTCAGGCCAGTTTCGAAGAATCAGCCCAGGGGTATCAAGTCTGTTTCCACGTTTTCCCTTTCAGCCATCCGGCCATCAGATCCGATTTGTTTGTTGCTGGAAAGATGTCTGAATCCGAGGTGTCAGTACAGCTCTGCCAAAATGGTTGCCCCCACGAAAAGGATTGTTGTTTGGTCTCAAGCAAATCGCTGAGCTGTTTGCCCCATTTTTCCGCCTAACGGCATTGTCCCAGGTTGACTAGTTGCTGTTGGGTGTTTTGGACCAGTGAGCTTAGACATGCTCGCATTTTTGGTATCGTCGAATTCTTGCACTTTGGGTTGCATGTGCCAGCTCGCGTCTTGGACTCTTATCAATTTGCAGACAGCAAATGTTGGAGTTGGGGAGGCAAATATTTCTGATCTAAGCGGCTATTTTCAGTTGAAGTCAAAATCAAGCATTCACGTGCTCCGATGCCCTTGTGCAAGCTCCAGTTGCGTTCTAGTTGAATTCTACTCATATGATTCCAATTACATTCTACTTCGACTATAAAAATCAGATCTGGAAAGCAATTCCTATCACAGTCTTATGTTGTTTATCTGATTCGAATTCATTTTTGTCAATCGCATTTATTGAACGCCATTATAGATTAGAATTGCCAATTTAACCTGCTGTTTCAAGTCTGAACCAAATCTAGCTTTAGTTATTGCATTCCCTAGCACATTCCAAATATGAAACGCTATGGAGAGAACAAGTATTCAAACACCTAGTCTAAATTGAAGTCAGCTTCATGTTTTGGGTTGATTGCCCTTATGTCCATGTGCTTTTTTAACAAAGCACGACCTGAGCCAAGTCAACAACAGGAAAAGGATCTCTTTCCCCTGCAAAGCATGCAGTGCACTGCGTCCTGTCAGATCATCAGTCCTCCCCTGACAAAAACCATGTCAGACTGAGCAGTGTAGGTTTGTTTTTCTCCTGCGGATGAGGGTCCAGCTGGACACCTGCTAGGTGTGATGTATGCTTTTTGCTTCTGACTTAAAAGTCGTTTCGGCTGGACCAAGATCCAAGATTGCGCAGAATGTTTCTTGGGAACCTTGATTACAGGCAACGCCCCCCAAGCAACATGATAAATAGAGAGAGAAGAAGAAGAGAAATACTGTAAGCACGCTGTTGGAGAAAACAATGCCAATGTTGCGCAACCTGTCAAGGCTTTCAGCTTTGTCCGCAAAAATGTTGCGCAACAATTTGCATTGATGCCCAACATTTTCACAGAACCACTGGACCACAACATGGCTGGGATATGTTTTTGTTTGGCCCATTGCAACAATCTGCCAAATGGTTCCCAACTGTTGCGCAACATGTCCACTGGACCCAACGCCAAAAAAGCGAGAAAGCAATCCTACCACCATGGCTGGAGTGTTTTGTTATTGTGTGTTTGTTTGTTTGTTCCGTCAAATGCGGCGCAACATGTCGGGAATGTTACGCAACATTCCCATTTGCCACTTTGTCATGTTCTTTTTACTGGGGAGTGGGGCAAATGGCAGACATGTTATTTTTAGTGTTTTCTTGGTAAATGGGGGGGCCAAATGCAGTTAGTCTGGGTGAATTATAACGACCTCACACGACCTCACCCCAAATGGTGGTTTATGCGGGGAATGGCCCCCCCAAGCACCTTATTTCAGGCTGGTGAAGTATTGTAATTCACCCAGAGTTAGTATGTGCAAAAAGGTAGGTTTTGGAAGCGGGGGTGCATATGTATGAAGATAGTGTACATGATGTATAGTGATGCATGGAGGTCTCACATGCATTCCCAAACAATGCCTTGCGAACTTTCTGCAATGCTCACGACGGCTTTCCTGAACAGGGGGTGCACCGAGTCCCTCGAGGTCAATCACTGGGTTCTTGCCCAGTCCATGGAACTAGTTCCCGGCATGAGCGGCTCGCTGGAACAATTGCCTTGATGGCCATCGCAGCTGCCTTTTTTTTTGGTAGCTCCTTTGGCATCAATGTTTGGGATCGTCGCGAACACTGCAGCTTTCGGCCCATTTCACAGGCAGGCTGCCGAAAAGCATCACCTTATGGCAAAAGCCGTGTCGGACAGGGTGAAGGATCAAGTTGTCCAGTGTCCAGCATACGACTCAGACCTGGATTCTTAATGTTGCTGGGGAGTGTCAAGTCAGCGCTAAACTCCTCTGTGCCAAGACATGGCTTGGGTTCACCTTTTCCTGTGGCAAGGCGATGCTTTTCGTTGGCAACGCCCCGCACAAAGCAAAGCTGAATGAGTTGCGTCAGCCCTCCCTCCTTTTTCATTATAAGCGTTCCCCTGAAAGCAAGAACCCGTACCAACTTTGTTACAACCACTGAAGCACATTCAAAACACATCCAAATACTAAAATCCGCTTTGACGCAGGAAAACAGGAAAACTACCAAATTCTCTATCCTATCAACCTGTTTCCCCCTAAGCGGGATCCCCTGCTTCAGAGACCAAAAAAGAAGGCAGCAGCAGTCAGCAGGCTGGCTTTCGCAAAAAGACCATGTGATGGAAGTGGCTTCCTCAGGCGTGCGGCGCCGAGATCCGGCGCAGAATTGTTTTCCGCTCCCGTTCCGTGCTTTTGCGGAAAATGTTGGAACCCCCCATCATTGAAAGGTGGTTTACACAGAGAGCAGAATAAGAGCCTAGTCCATTGTTTGGATGATTAATATTTTGACTCACACACAAATGGGGATTTGGGTTGTGAGTTTCTGTGATACCCAGGGATCCAGTATATCAGCTTCCCTCCACTTGGTGGATTGGTGGTTTGGAGGTTAGGAACCGGTGGTTTCCCATTTACCCTCCACAAGAACCAGCCAGTGGTCCAACCCGCAAATCCCCCAAGCCACATCACCATTGATGAAACGTAGAACTCCCAAAACATGCTGACCGTGGCTTGACCCTGGAGTAAACCCTTGGTGGATTGGGGGTGTTCCCAGTTTTTGTATGGATCCTTCACGTGTTGGGGGCAGCAAAAACCCCGCCAATCATCCGCCACCGATGTTTTTGGCTCACCCACTTCCACAGTCAACATGGTTCTGGAACACAATCCTTGTGATGCTAAAGTGCTTGATTCCCGCCACTCGTTGAGCACTTTGCAGGGGATTCCCAAGCGGATCGTTCGTCCAACCGCATTGTTTAGTGCTCATTAGTCCAACCATTTAACTTCAGAGATATGTTGTTCTTCCGTCTCAGTTTATATTGCGACCATGGTCTGGCTTTGTTTTCCCACAACCAAACAACAGGATCACGATTCTTTCCACATAGCCCACGTGGCACAGCCGATGTCCGAGGTCTCAGATGCCAGCTCCAGCCGGAATCCAAGACCCACCATTCCAAGTTGTTTACTATCGTTCCCTTCAGAAACCACGAGAATCCAAAGGTCCGACTCGGTATGACCAATTTGTTGAAGAGAAGGACCTATGAAAATGGGAAAGCTACAGCCGGTGCAGCTAGAGAGACGCTTAAAACATATTTTTGGAGATTGATATCAAAAGTGTGCGTTGAATTTTGTCATGTAGGTAAAAGGGTGCACCATTCTACCAAGGATGTGCCGCCAAGCAACAAACATGTGTGGAAGTGAACACGTGTACTCAACCTACGTGTTCGATTGGTTTAGAGGGCACCTTGACAGTAGGACACTCGGACCCTCCTCACCAGAGAACGAGCAAGAGCTACTCTGGTTGTATGAAAGATTCAGTCTTTTGATTACCAGTGGTCTACGGTTCATTTGGGAGATGGGATGACCTCAAACATTTGTCCACAACTGGGGGCCTCACTGAATGTTTCATGTTGATTTTGATTGTGCCTCAGCAAGTAATATGGGAATCTATTTATGTCAAAGCCAGAAATCCAACCCTGCGGACGCGTAGTTTGTCACCAAACATAGGAGTAATAGGCCGGGTGCGATCGTTACGCTCGTCGGGCTGAGCATTTCGTTTGCGCAGCCTCGCACAAATGTTCGCTTTTGAGATGTTCATGTGCATTTGGGCTGCGCAGGCTCGCGCAAAGTGCGGGGCCGAATTTGAGGTCTTCCGAGGGTACGTTCTCGCCGTGCGAATTCCGGACGTGATGGATTGGTGCACCGTCTGCAGACTTTGGGCGTGTTGGAGTGCTCTCGCTGTAGCGCGGTGCGAATTCTTAACATCGAACTCAACCCTTTGCAGGCTTTGGGAGCTTTGAACCGGTTTCGCTGTGACACGGCGCGCGTTCTGAATATCGAAAGTGAAACCCTCCTCGGACTTTGAGCATGTTGAATCTCTGTCGCTATGGCGTGGCGCAAGCTGCAAACATCGCAAGTGAAGCCTCTTTAGGTGGGTCGGATCGTCTCTTGTTGTGGCTCTTTTCGGAAGGAACTCTCTGCAGGCTTTGGGTGGCTCGGATCCTTCTTGCTGTGTCCCCGCGCAAAGGAATTGCAAACATCGAAGCACAGACCTGCTAAGATTCTCTTGCAAGAGGTCTTGCTTTTTAGAAATCCTGGACAGAGAGCATTGATAAAAAGCTGGTACATATTCTCATGAATCCCGCACGTAAAACTTGCCAAGAGATCCTGACCAGACCTCCTTCGCACAATGTTGCCAAGGGATCCTGTCTCTTAAAATCCTTCCAAAGGTATCTCGCGCTGGTCCGTCGTAGGGAACCTCTCAAGAGACTACGCTGAGAGGGTCCTCTGAGAGATCCGAGCGCGAACCTCGCGGGGACCCACACATCTTGCGCGGAGCTGTAGAGACCCTCCCAAACATCTTGCGCCGCTCGAGGTCGCAAAGACTTCATGACGAGAGATCTTGCAGAGGTTGCTCTCTACAGATTCTTAAGAGAGAAACTGTGGAGGATTCCCTCAGATCCTGTGCGCAATCTTGCCAAGAGATCGTCAAGAGATCCTTTTCACAGATCCTGCAAAAATCTTCCACAAAGGTTTTGACCCGAAATGGCTACGGAAACATTTTCCAATTTTTGCCACTGGCTGGGGTCTTTTTTTATTGATGCGCATTGAGGCCATATAGCTCGCTCGGAACTTAAACGGGGGGCTGCCAAAGACTGCAGCTGGGACCTTTTCAGCAGTTTGTTGCCCTTCCGCTTACTTTAAATACGAGCCAAGAAGTCATACTCATCACCTCTGCCGTCAAGGGGAGTGGCCGGCCGGGCGGTTACGACCCACGAAGGACCCACGTGGCATCTCTGTAGACAAGGTCCTTCCGGAGTTTCAGTTTTAGCATTTTTTTGGATGGCCAATAGAAAACGTTGGAAGAGCCCTTGGTTTGAGCCACGTCATGGATTGCGCTTGCAGCCCAGATGTACTAGGAGCAAACTTTCATGTTTAAGGCCTTTCAGTGAACAGCAGATCATGGTTGGGCAACCCTGCTTGTGGCCCCTCCTCTAGCAGAAGTAAGCTGACACTGGGTTCATTTGCTTGAAGGATCGGGTTTTCCACTTCCATGTCCTCTTACTCATGGTATATGATCTTGGATGGGAGATGGCCGGAACGCAAGTGTTTCTGGGTTCTATTTGGACCTCGCCCCTGCCCATAAACAGCGAGCACTTGCTTGCCCACCCAGCTACACACTCCCTCATCTTTTCCTCAACATTTGTTCTCCCTGACATTTGTGTCGTTTGTTGCCGCATTTGTTGCCCACCTCTCCGCCTACAGTACTTGCAGAAGACCCCTTGTTTGAACAGATTTCCTTGCGCGGCTTCCCTGAAGGTATGTGGTTCATGGCAAAATTGCGATGGCATTGAGAGTAGATGGCTTAATGAAATGTCAAGCGTCTTTTGGCTTATGGGCAATATTGGTTGCTTGGCAGCTTTTTCTCTACACTCGCAATCTCGTCCTCAGTTGTTTCCTCCACATTGACGCTTGTTAAGTCCAATATGAACATCTGTTGGTCGGCTTGCCCGGGCCATTGCACACTGCACGCTTTGTTGCAACATGTAACACGTCAAGGGATCTCCATGATCTTCTCTTTTCACTCATAAGCCCTTGGCGGCAAAGGGCAGAGCAGGGTGTGGGCATTATAGGTTCTGTTGAGGGGATCCTTTCAAACGACGCCAACTTGCAAGTCTCAGGTTGGGTGTCCTCTGAGGAGTCAGGTGAGGAAGGTGAGGACTCAGAGGTCGTTTTTGGCACCAGGGTCAAAATGGGACTTCGCATCATGAAAGAAGTCGCTTCTATTTTGGGGGGAAGGGGGGAGGGCCCAGATACTGCCAAACTTATTTTTCTTGGTTGCACTTAATTTACAAAAGTGTGTCGACATTGTCCATCACGCAACACGTGGTCTCTACTTGTGGGCTAGAAGCACAATCCAGGGTTGATGATCACCAAGTTGCGCGTAACTTGGGAATTTGGGGGGAAGCCTGTAATCCTTTTTGCCCTGGGCTGTGTGTTCAACTCACCCGGTGGTCGAATCATGTCTTGTTTGCAACCACAGGGAATGGCCTCAAATTGACGTGATGAAATATGTTTTGGAGACGCTGTTAAGTGGCCCTAGGATTCCTGAAGGAGCTTCAACTTCGCTACCAGACAATGGCGGAGAACATGTTTGGGTTAGCCCGTTTTCTCAATTCCCGGAAAGGCATGACAAACATAATGAGATGGGCCTCATTCAGGCTCTGTGTTTCTTTCTGCCGGCTTACCCCAGAAGTGGTCAAATTACGTTTTGGTTTAAGCTTGTACAGTTCCAGAATTGCTCTTAAAGGGGCCTTGTGCGAGGCAAGGCTACCGGCGGTGAGGCTAGCTTCATGTATCAACAGGGACACCGGTCTTGGATCAGGCACCTACATGCGGTTGGTGGCTGCTATTGTGTTGAATCTTGAACTGTAGACTTTTGGGAGAAATGTGTATTTTCTCACCAACCCGCAAAAACTCCCCAATGCTAAACAGTCCCCTAATACAAAAACCGACTTTTGAAGATCCAAGATCCGGGAAATTACTTTTAGAATGGCCAATACTCAACCAATTCTAAAGTAGGCATTTTCCCGCTCGTGCCCAAATCCAGCCTTATTAGGGACCCTTTTTGCACCAATCCTTCAAACCATATTTATTATGTGAGAGCTTTTCATAGACACGGGCAGCTGGCTCGGTTAGCTGGCCAACGGCGTACGCTAAAAGGCGCTAAAAGGCTAAAACAACACAAAGGGGGACTCCTCGCCGTTTTTTCAGGGGGACCCACGTAGTATTAGCACTTAGTCTGAGGGGGGGGCCGTTTAGCATTCGGGCGAAGGGATTAAGTTTACATGTGTAACTCTACAGCCGTGCTGGTTGTAAACTCAACGCGGGGCCTGTTTTGAAAGGTGTAGCGAAGAGAAGGTAAACCAATGCGAAGGTTCTTCGGATGTTATGAACCAGCTCACATGGTGACCATTTAGGACTCTGGGCCAGAACCCTATGGCTCCCCTTGCTGCCTTACGGCAGGTGCTGCCTTCGATTCCACCGAGACGGAGGAGTTGCCAAGAGGTGGCCAGGGAGTTCGTATCAGGGATCATCCCTGATTCATCAATTGATAGTTGGGGGGGGGCAACCTAATTAAATCATGCCTGTTTGTGCAGAGGCGCAATGACCAAGTTATCGAAGCCCCTCGTTTTCGGTCTGAGGCCTGGAGGGAACAGAGATGTTCGATTTTTTGAAAAGGAGAGAAACACAGGCATGACCCTTCCCCGGCCTAGATCGATAGAAGGTTCAATGCCGACACCCAATTTCGTGTTTAAGGGTCATTCACTATCCCCTGCCAGCTGAACAGGGTGATTTTGCAAAGTCCGGTTGCGGCTCACACTCATGGCCTCCTTCAAAGCTGGGAAGCAGTTGTGTAAGAAACCCAAAAAAATGACGAACATTCCACAAACCACAAGGGAAATTGAGTTTGAGGCAGTGTAGTTGATAGAGGTCGTGTGTTTCTTTTCACCGAGCCTCATGCAGAGCACAAGCTGTAGCATGTTCCTTCTATTGTTTTTGTTTTAACATTCTACCGGAAGTCACGCGCGTAGGTGTTCCCTTTCAAAGGCCACCAGCTGGGCTGAAGCATTGTCCAAGCCTCTCCCAGGGAATGCCAGCTGTGCCAAGTGTTTCGGCTACAGATCGTCAGCTCAAAAAGAGATGATAGATGGTTCCTTTTTTTACCACCCTTGCCACCCTTGTCCATGTTTGTCAACATCTCAAAGATGATGCATGGTTCGTTTTCTTCTACCACCCTTACCACCCTTATCCGTATGTTCGAATTTTCCCGCAAAACAACGCCAATCCAGCCAAAAAAGAGAAAAGGCATGAAGGGATGGTTCCGTGTGTTTCTATCCTTACCACCGACCATTATGTTCCACGTTTGTGTGGTTCCACCACCAAACAGCGTCAACCCATTAAACAAAGATGATAGCTGCTTTCGTTTTTTCTAGCACCCTTGTCACATCCATGTTTCTGTGGTTTCCCCGCTAAACATCGCCACCCCATCAAGAAGACAGATGGTTCCTTTGTTTACCACTCGTCCCACGCGTACCACCCTTGTCCACGTTTGTTTGGTTTCCCACTAGATAGACATAGTCAAATTAAACCACTGAACAGGCATGCTTTGTTTCTGCCAACCAATGCCGCCCTTATCCATGTTTGTGTGGCTTTTCCACAACATCAATCCGCCAACAAGTTACGTTATGTTTGCCAGAAAACCAAGCAACACAACATGTTTTGGTCAACAAACAGACACCACCAAAGCAAACATGAGAACCCACGTCTGTTTTGTACATAAGAAGCGGCATTACAACCCGGCAGCAAAAGTCGATCCCTTTTCGGTGGTTCAGGTCCCTGGCTGGTGCCACCGGCCCGAGCCCCAAGAGATTCGGCGCCGCTTCGCGGATGAGTTCACTTTTGTAGACACCGAGGGGGCATTTTAAGACTAGGGGTGTCCTTTCGGGTGTGCTTGTGGGTACCCTATTCGGAGGGAAACCAAAGGGAAACCATCAGATTTCAGGATCTCCGAGCGACTCCATCCGCAAAATAACACGAGTTGTTGTGGTCCTCGGGATGCGTTTTGACCTTCTCAGCCATCTGCGACTCCCAATCGAAAAGAAACTGGGGCCCCACCCCCCATGCTTTGAGGCCCGTCAGTGTTCTCGGGGGATGCTTGGGGATGAGCGTGCGCATTCTCTTGGTATTGCCTTGAAGTCCTCCTCTTGTGGTGGGTGACGGATTCCTTCCAGACCCGCCTGAAGCCTTTCACGTCCATTGTCGCTTAAGGTGTTGTCTGGGTTGGTCTGTGTTGGGTGTCTGCGGGGGAGGGGTCTTGACTGGATGACTTTTGTCAAAGGTATCTGACTTCAAACCAAAAAGGAGTTCAACAAAGTTGCCAACGTTTTTTTTTTTTGGATTCTTCTCTTCGAAACCTTCTTCAGTTACTCTTTGCAACCACTAGCACGTGTTTTTTTTTGTTTAGCAAGTTTTGTCATGTTTTTTGGTTCCGTTGGGATTGGACTCGTTCAGCTGATATTGCTTCCAAGTCAGTGGACATGAAAGCCCACTTGGGGTTTTTCAGACGGTTTTTGTTTTGTTGGGAGGGCCAAGATGGCGAAAGTCTCATTTTGCCGTCTGCATCTGACCTGCGCCCAGTTGCCAGCTCTTGGACGGCCATCGCCTCATGCGCCCGCCGGCGGCTTTCGCCTCTGCACCGTGGTGGCCTCAGTTCTTCCCCATAATTTGTTTTCCTGTTGTATGTTTTGCTTTTTTGGGGTTCCCTTTGTTTTACACCAACCAGTAAAATATATATCTTTTGCTGGGGTCCTAATTCCAGCCAAGAGTTGAGGTCTGGTGCTGGGTGTTGTCGAAGCAGCCCGCTGGCGTTTGGAGTCTGGTAATTGTCTGCAATTAATTGCGAACCCACCAAGTGTCGCTTGTGTTGAAACGAGGATCCCAGCAGCGCGCTTCCATTTGTGGGGGGGGGGGGGGCGGTTGTTGCTGGAATGCCATGTTTTTTGTCTGGCAGATGCTGGGCCCATCATCTGCTCACCGCTGTTGCTGAGAAATGCAGCAGGGGAAGAGTCCTGAAAGAGTATCGTGTCTCCTTTCTCTGCCGATGCGGGCAATAGTTGGCATGATGTGGCTGTGGGTCAAAACCAATGGTACCATTTTGGGGTAGGTGCACCACCCATTTCAATCTATGTTAGTTGGGATTGGGATGTTCACTGGGGGTACGGTGACCCATGGCCATATCCCACCATCACGAGGTGTAGCGGCCGGATGTGCGTTGTAACTTCCACGGCCTTTGCTTGCACGTCGCCATGGCCCATTCAGGTGTACAAACCTCACGATGTCATGACAGCTTTGCCCTTATGATCTTTTCCTTCAGCTCGCGCTACTGTCGGTTCTTCCCATGCCAAGCCCCGCCCTTTGACCGGAGCATGATTTGCAAGTGGGCTAACTCAAGCCCCCACAGAGGTGTGTGCAAGGCGGCGGTTCGTGCAGCTTTGCCCGCGCCGACACTCGCTTTCCCAGTGTTCCCCGTAATTACCATGTCTAGGGGGGGAGGGAGTTTCCTGGTGCAGTTTCCTTTAAGCTAGTACTTGGGGGTGACTTTGATAACATAATGAGGCCAGTGTGTGAGTGTGTCGGTTGCCTTCGAACCGCGCAGACTTGGAGCGTGTTTGATCCTAGGCTCAAGAAAGTATGGGGCTACCAGAGTCAATGGGTTGCAAACTCGGGCAAGCCATTTGGTGCCGCTGAAACAGTACTGTCCTGAAGATGACCATGAGCTGGCATACGTGTTGAAGCAACTCTGAGCCAAGAATGGTCCAACCACTAGTTTCGTTTTGATCCGCCGGCTCGGAAGGTGAAACGGATGTGTTTTTCAAGTGGCGCCCCAGGCAAGAGCGTGCCTTTCAGGACCACAGCGTCCCGAGCGCATGGGATCCCGATTGCGAGACGTCCAGAGCGGACTTTTTTTTCTTCTGAGCGCGCTTGCGGCCTGTGAAGGCCATGCAGCTTGGCACTGGGCGGAACAGGTCTGCGTCTTTTTTCCGCTTTGCAGGGGCCTGTTCTATTATTTCTGTTCGGGGTTCCCAGAACATCAGCCAACAACATTGGTTTTCTGCTTCCTCACGGTCTCCACATTGTTTTTGTTTCTCAGCTGTTGAGCATGAAAAGAGCCTTCTGTTCGGGGATGTGCTAAAAAATGGAGACCTCTGTCGGATGTATTCTGAATGCAACCAGCAGGAAGACCATCAATTGGAGGGTGGACTCTGTGATCGAAATCAGCAGCATAGGTACACAGCTTGATATTTCGAAGTTGACGTTATGTTGCCGAGGTAAGCTGTCTCACTCCCTCAGTTCATGGACTTTAAGCAGTTTGGACTGGAACCATCTTTGGCAAACAATCACCTCGGACCCTTGTTGCCAGTCCACTCAGGAAGTGAGCTGTTTGAAGCTTCTGTCAAGGACAAGAAATTCGGCCTCTTTGAGTCATGAATCTGTCCGATCCCGGCAGGGTCGTGCCAGGCCTCTGCCGAAATCGGAGTTGGCCAATGTTGGGGGGCTGTGACTTCCATTTGTTGAAGAATATGTTTTATGTTTCGGGTTTGTTTTTCAAGGAATCTATCCCTGCTGCATTTTTCCGCAGGGAAATTAGCAACAAACATGGAGGCAGCCGAAGGACAGGGAGGGTGTCTGTGGGTGTCCCGTGGATATTGTTGGGCGGGTGCCTCTTTCCCTACCATGAGACATCGAAGCAGATGCCCTTGCTGGGACCCGAAAAAAGGAAACCAACTCCATTGCCAAGGCCGGTTTTCACCCAGCCAAACTACGTTGCATTGTTTACCAAAAGCTGAAGAATGGAGTTGGGGGTGTCGACCCTCAAAGGTCCATGCGCATTGTTCTTTCCTTTGTGGACAAGGATGAATTGAAGTGGGCACCCCCTAAAGCAGTTACCATGGCAGCATGACTTTGAAAAGCGAGCTCGAAGGAATGAAGGGTGCCCGAATCTGGCTGTCCGCCAGCTGGATGTATTTACGCACGTGCTGAGATAGCAGAATGGATTCGGATGGGTCACTTAAGTGTCAGAACCCAAAGTTCGGAGTCAAATCAAAGTTTCCCATTCTAGTTGTTTTGCACTCGGAAGGCTGAATCATTGTCAGGCCACGCACACTACAAGAAAGGGCGGGCGTCATTCCTCGACAAACAATGCAGAAAGTAAAGCTAAACGTGACCCTCGTCCCATCCCAGATAAGCAATAGAGCCCCAGTTGGTCAACGCAACAGGAGTGTTCTAAATAATTATTAAAAAGGTGGGCTGTGAAAGCGATGTCATGCAAACCTTCGTAGCAACTTTGATCGAAGCGACAGTCAACAGCATTTTGAGCACAGTCCGGGTTGCTTTCAACGGATGGATGGATGGATGGATGGATGGATGGATGGATGGATGGATGGATGGATGGATGGATGGATGGATGGATGGATGGATGGATGGATGGATGGATGGATGGATGGATGGATGGATGGATGGATGGATGGATGCGGGCGGGCGGGCGGGCGGGCGGGCGGGCGGGCGGGCGGGCGGGCGGGCGGGTGGATTGTTGGATGCGCCAAGGCGGAGCAGACGGAACTGGGTGGCCTGGCTGCTCCTGGCGCCAGTGCTCGGGGCTCCTGAAGTCATCCAGGCAGCGAGCGGACCCGAGCGGTGGGGGACCGAGGCAAAGGCTCCCTGCAGGTTCTCTGTGGGTTACTTGAGGCCATGCGCGTGGTAGATGCTTGTGCCCATGGCTTATCATGCAGTTTGTTGGGTGAAAACATCGTTGCAGAAAGGGAGCATAGACTTGTAATGCTTTGATTTTGAGGGCTACCACTAGTGAAGGGCAGCATTCATTCGACCCTGTGCAATGTAAGACGCAACAGCGACTTTCAGGAGAATGGGACCACATCTAATTCAAAGAGTAGGGCTTTTAAAGCAGCCTTGTTCACTACTTGCATGGGTTTTGCAGGAATAGACAAGCCAGTGCCTCACTCAGCATGCGCAGAAGAGTTGTTGGCTTTCCACATAGATCGCACTCCTCGCAGTGGGGGAAGGATTTTGCCGCAGGACCTCCGGGATCCCCGCATCGCGCTGTACTTGCCAAAGCCCCCCGGCAGTTGAAAGCCAAGCCGACTTGATCTTGCAGACGGGGGTATCTGTGGATGGCTTGGAGTGAACCGGAAAACAATTCCCACAAAACAAACATCCGTGGAGCGCTATATGGCTGTGGGTCAAAACCAATGGTACCATTTTGGGGCAGGTGCACCACCCATTTTAGTCTATTTTAGTTGGGAATGGGATGTTCACTGGAGGTACAGGCTTTTGACCCCTGGCCATATTGAGATTGGCTGACGCACTGCGCACGCCACTGTGCTTTGTTCTTTCTTGTCACTCGCGTGAATGTGTCAAGGAGCCCTTGGCCTGTCCAAACAGACAGCACCATGTTGGTTTGCTTGAGCATTGCGAGCAAGCGCTCCCACGATTTGTTCACACAATCACATGTTTGTTGATGTTGCTGGGAAACGCTTGCTTTAGACATTTGGTGTTGTGGGTGACCAGCTCTTTTTTGTCTATCGAGGAAACGGTCAGCGAACCGATGACATGTTATGAGAGGTCAATGGCACGGAGGGACATGGCGTTGTGTGGTTTTGGCATAGTCGTGGCGACCCAAACATTGAACTCCGAATTCCCGGATCATTTGTACAAGGCAGTTAGTCAATGGCCACCCGCGTGCATGTTTGCTGGTTGCCTTTTGATTATGCTGGATTCTCTCTCTTACGTCGCAGTCGGAGATGTCGCTGGACGTCTTGGTCCATTTGCTCTTCTTTGTCGTGTGTCACGCAGGTCCCGTTAGCGGACAGGGCTGGGACCCTGGGAGGCCCCCTTTCTTCTTTTTGGGGTAGGATTCCTTTTATCCCATGACAACCTGACAAGAGGACGACACTGGCACGTTGTGATCGAGAGAAGGCCATTTTGCTCGGGGTCAGGGGCGACCGATGTCAGAACACATGCAGGCGCGGCAGTCCTGAGAGTGTCTAATTATAACTTTTGCTTTCGGTCAAGCTCGTGGTTTGTGTGATTTGCTGAACTCAGCAGGGCTCCTGAAAAGATACATTTTGCCCATTTGAGACATGGCTTTTTGCACCAAATTAAAGGGACACCACCATGTACAAGGCAATGTTCAGGTGTATAATGTAAGGATCCCTGCTCAGCTGTGCAGCTTTGATTGAGCAGCCTTTTCCAGATCAGCGCAACTTGGATGAATTGCTTCAGATGTTGTTGCGTTTACCTGTTGGATTTAAAGGGACATGGTCATAGCTGCTAAATGTACTGTATGTCACCTTGGGCGAATGGAAGTCAAGCAGTAGACTTCTGCTGACATGCCACCCTTTGAGCACGCACTCTGAACAGTGCCGAAGTTTGCAAGTGTTTCCGGACGGTCCGGGTAACCCTCCTTTACAAGGTGCTTCATCCTTCGGTTTCCTTCTTGGGCTTGTTTTTTTTTTTTTTTTTTTTTTTTTTTTCTGCGGGATGTGTTGGGTGTTCCCCTGTCAGGTTTGAAAGAATTGAGCTTTTTAAAAAGAACCTGGCCATTCTTCTGGGCCCAATTCCTACTGTAGACCTTCCATGTTGGTGTTGCGTGTTGAAAATCGAATGTCTCCAATTCCTTC